TATATTATAAATTTATATATAAATTTATATATAAATTGAATATTAAATAACTTTTAATCTACTAAACCAATTTGGATAATTTAACTATCAAATGATTTTCTCAATGAGCTAATTCTAAATCTAATCACTAGATCCTAAAATTGATATAGATTTATATACTACAGTATATAATACTATATAGTAATATATAGTATATAGTATACAAATCTATATCTATCTCAGAATCTAGTTATTAGATTTTGATAATTTTAGGCTTGTTAAAATCAGCTCATTGAGAGGATCATTTTGGTAGTTAAATCATCCAAATTGGTTTAGTAAATCAAATGTTATATAATATTAAAATTTTTTATTAATTAATATATAAATTTGTTGTACAAATTGATTAGCTAATAAGATATCAGGTGTGGGTGGGTGGGGGCAGTGTTGTCAATAAACATGAACATAGATATAAACTGTTCATAGACATAGGCATTCATGAACATGGATATAAACTGTCTATGGATATAGGCATTCATGAATATATAAAAATATAGATGTCTATATTCATGAATATATAAAAATATAAACATGTCCATGGACATGGACATTGAATATTGTGTCCATGAATTGTCCATATCCAATAATTTGCTTGAATATATATCCATATACAATACTGCTTCTTAAGAGATAGAAATCACCTGATTTCTAACAGCTCTCTAAAGATAAGTTCAGATATAGTATATAAAGATTTACTATTTAAGTTTAGTATAGCATGTTTAATTTATTATAAAAAGTTTGTTTTCTCAAATCTGATTTAATTCTGGTATAAATAGGTTTAGTATATTTAGAGTCAACTATATATGCCTTTATTTTTCAACTTCTTATTGGCTAGTAAGTTCTGTATTGCTAGAAGTGTTTCAAATCTAATAAGACCAATTTTTTATTACAGAGTTCTTTGTATTTATCATATTTTTTACCACTTCCAATTCTAGTTACTAATTAGTTATTCTTTTAAACAAGATCTTTAATACTATTTTAAAAGTTGTTAATGCTACCTTACCAATTACAAACTTATATATACAATTTTTGTATAATAGAACCTTCTATAATAATTACTATTATACATAATACCAACTACTCTACAATAAACCTTCTTCTAAAAATTTTCAATTTAAATATATTTATTTGAACTTTTTTACAATAAATATATTCAAATATATATTTGTAAATAAATATATCTACTAGGACTTGAACCCAAAACTCACTTATAAAGAGTTGGGTGCCTAAACTACTAAACCGCAAAATCCCAATCTTAGTTATATAATAATTACAATAATAGGTTAGGATCTTGTAGTCTAGTAGTCTAGACGTCTAACTCTCCACAAATAAGGTCGACGGTTCGATTATAGCTGGTAGTAATTAATTTAATTAATTATCTCTATAACCTTCGGGAGCTTTTAAATGCGAAACCCAGTGGTGGTAAAACCATGTGATATATATATTTGGCTAATAAAGAATTCTTGAAAGGAGCCCTAAGCTATGGAAAAGACTGGGCACTATGTGTGACATAGATCATGAAAGGTAATACTGCAGAAGGCTGTGCATATGAATTTACGATTGGCAAAGTAGCACCAACAACTCTAAGGTGGTATTGAAATCTTGTTTGGGAGGATAGCTATATGTGGTATATTTAGAAGTGGTGAGAGAAGTGATGAATATAGTAAGGGGCTGTAGTAAGAGAATGGCTTTACCAAATATAAAACACCTCTGGCACAAGAAAACAAGAAAAACTGGCTAAAAGAAACCCCAAAAAGCATAAAAGCAAGTGCTTTGGTAGTACAAAAATAAAGTCAGCTAGTGAGTAATGTGTCATATAACCTATATAGGAGTCATGAGAGTATGATGAAACATGGCAGAAACGCAGGTTTCAGGTTACTGGCTTGGTAATTAAATAAGGTACTTAACTCCCATCTTAAGGATCTAAACTTCTGTAGTATCATACCGATAGAGAGTACTATAAAAGGAGTGGTAGTCTAATTTGGTAGTGTATGACGCAAATACCTGAATGACATAAAATAACACTCTAGTACAGCAGCAGATGGCTTGAGATACGAGTCTTATGACCTAGCAGCATCTGGCTTGAGATACGGATTAGGTCCTTAAAGTAGCTTCCCAGAAACACCAAACTGGAAGCATAAAGAGTGCCCACTCAAAAGATACCAATTTAGAAATAATACAAGAAACGAATTAAGAGTAATGTGATAAGTAATAAGGGGTGGAAGTTAATTAGTAGATATTGTACAGTAGTATATAAGCGGAATATATATGATATAATTAGATTTGGTGATTTAATAATTGGGCTAATTGCAGGGCGGTTACTAAGGAGGTAAAAGTCTCATTTAGCAGGTCGCATATAGGTACCTAAATTGGTAACCAGGTGAGCTAATATATGTAAAAATATAGATAGTTGTAAATGTACTCATGACATTTGTAACCAAAATACCTTAGTGTTAATCTAATAAACAGTATTGGCAAGACTGCCAAATTAAAAAAAAATAATAATAATAAGGTGAAACCAATTTGATTCAGTGGTTTATATTACCCCCCCCCTCCCACCTTTCCCCCTCACTATATAAGCGGAAAATTTTGAAAAATTTTTATAATATCGTGGATCATTTTGGAGAAAAAATTTATAATAAACTCCCTCCAGCCCCCTCTCCCCCCCCTTTTTTTGTGAGTAGGATGTAACGTAAACCACTGAATTAAATTGGTCTTGCCTAATTACAATAATATAATTACACTATTTTTTTAACTTCAAGCTATTATAAAACATAAAATTTGACTTTTACACAATCACCAGGCTGATGATTATATCGAGGTTTGACTGTATATGAGAGAATTTTTAAAATATAAAAATTTCATTTTATAGCTTAGGTTGAAATTAATAAGACTGTACTTCTAATCTGCAACTTTAATTTTCACATGCTAAACCGACAAAACCGGTTTTAAAAATATGAAAAATGAAACCGGTCCCAAGCTCTTATATATATATTGTATGTCACACAGACCAAAAAAACGACTCTGATATAATACGTACGTACGTACGTACTGAATTTGCAAACACGAAGCGTTTGTCTTCATATTTCTTGTAATAATTATAACTATGCCAGGAGAAATCACTACCCCAGAACCAAATCAAACTGTTCTGACAAAGGGTAAAGGAAAGGCCGTTGAAGAAGAAGAGCATGTCACAAAAAGCTCTTCATCAGCAAAATTGTCTACAAACGAGTATCAACTAAAAGCGATTGAATGGGCTGGTCCGGAAGGCGGGGAAACTCGAAAGTTGAAGATCATCACTCAAAATGGTAAGCTATTTCTTTCCCTGTTGATTACCTAGTCTACCTTATCTTATTTATCGTATCTGCAAATTTTGTAGAAAATGGGCCATGCCCTTTGTTAGCTCTATGTATCCTATTTGTCGTGAAATGGTGATAGATCTATTTCTGAAATGCTTTATGTCTAAACCAGATAAATACTTTTGACTCTAGTAAATTTAATTAAATTTAGGCAACGTTTTGATTTTACGAGGTTCTATCGAAATTAAACCATACGATCGTTCAACTGTAACTTATGACTTCCTTGTAGAATTACTAGGAGATTACTTATTTAAATTAATTCCGGACGGAGAAGCCGAGGTAATCAACACTTTTAATAATATAGTTAATCATAGTTTAATATTAATATTCATTTTTTTCACAAAGATTCAGAAAGGATTACATCAATTGACAATTGACCAACCCTCACAAAAAAGTCAAAGTCAACAAGAGCATTCATCCGACCTCATAAATGGGATCGATGAAAATCAAGGTGTGGATGAAAAAACTAAGGAATGCGGTCATGATAGTCAGGAGTTTCAAAGAAAGACCGAAAATGATTCTATCACACAAATTAATAAAGTCGCGAGACCATCCCTACAAGACTATCAACACACATTGCACAGCGCCATATCAATTATTCCTATATTACAGTCCGGTTTGGATGTAAACGTTAGATTCAATTCTATTCACGGATTTGAACCTACTGCTGAGCTTTCCGTATTTGATATCTTTGGTGTGGAACTAGTTCATGGTTGGGTGGTTGACCCTCAGGACGAAGAAACATGGGAAGTTGTAATTGGAAAGTGTGGCAGTTATAATAAAGCAGTAGAGTGTGTTGTAGGTGGAGATTCTGTGAGTAAGGGTGTCGTTTTGGAGAGCTCAGATTGTATTTCTGATATGGGTTTCGATAAATCTGAGCGATCCGCAAACGCTATGGAAAATGTCAGGGTCAGAGATGGTAATATTTTCAATTCTTGAAAGAGAATATCAGGACATAACTTAACCGAATATTCTTATTGTCGCTTGTACCTTCTACATAATATTAAGCATTGATAACATCACAATTTTTGGACGCGTCTAAAACTCAACTTACATACCATGGATTGTTAACGTTGTCTGAAGCTTTACCACCAGGAAATCTTTGCGTATTTTTCCGGAATAATCATGTGAGTTTCTGGTAATCTGTATCCTGAGATCTTGGTAACTGTTACCTTCACTTCATTGTATTTTTGGATTAATATAAGGGATATTAAAAAGATTTGCTTATTGTGATTTATTCATAATTACATATATAACTATTATTCATGGCATTAAAAATGGAAGTTTTCCACGCTATACAAACATCCTCAAAATTCAACTCTATACATTCTAGTCACTGATGCCGGATTCGTTAATGAACATTCAGTTGTATGGGAATCGCTTATTGACGTAGATCAAAGCGCTTCTGAATTCGTTAATGGACAATTTCGCAAAGGTGAAATTACTGGTGGTGATTATGTTGGCGTGATGGATGATGAATTACATGGAGGAGGAGATCAAGAGTAGGTACTCTTTTTATTTATTAATTTTAATCGCAACTAACCGCTTCTATATTTTATCATTAGCTATGCACTTGCCTTAAGTCTCCAACAGCAAGAAGAAGAACGTGAAGCAGAATTTCGCCGTAAACAACAACAACAGCGCCAGGAAGATTTGCAACGACAACAGAGACGACAAAATCGCCAATATGACGCCACGTCTCAAACGTCTACTGGTAGTTCAGAAACATCTGAAAAGGAAAGAAAAAGAGAAAAAAGAACTAGTTGCTTTATTTCATGAATAGAAAGCACTTTTTTTTAAGCATTTATTAAACTTTGCTTAATATCTATTTATTGGGATTAATTCTTTTTGGAAAAGAGATGTCGAGGTAAAGTTTACTTGTTTTTTATGTGCAATAGGAGGCAGAACTTGTCAGAGTTATTTATGCTACCTTATATATATTATGTTATATGTATTAATTTTTTCAGAATTAACATTAAACAGATAAAAAGAAAAGATTTTAATGTGCAATTGTGGTGAAAATTCTGTTCTTGATGGGATAAAAATTCACGTACAGTTTCCATTTATGCATAATACGTGCGTGCATGAATCATTGATCGTTTTTTTACCCTATCAGTACCAGGATGGTAAATGACTTGAAATGACCCAAAATGACTCATTAACTAACTTATCTTGGTCGTTTACTAAATTCATAGCTTCAAAAAAAAAATTTCGCACGTAATGAACGTAATTTAAAAATAAAAACTAAAAATGTTTATTTGCGTACATCAGTTTACATCACGGACATCATTTTTCTTGTCCAATGAAATTTCAGCATCAATTAGTTACTTCAAATTCGATAATTAGTGAAGTGTGACAGTTATAAAGGTCAAATTTATTGTCCGGAGGGCGCTCAATTTCTATGCAAAGTGATGCAAAAGTTACGCTTTTGATGCTTCAGAAGTATCGTTCTTGACGCTTTCATGGTAAAAATATCAAAAGCGTAACTTTGAATTTTCTGCCTTATCTACTTGCATATTTGTGTAACACAACAAATCCCATGTGATTTCATTCTGAACCGTGTTCTAATAGGTCTGGCCGGGCTGGCCCGCAGTCCTAATGATGCATATATCACATGTCTAATTTTAGATCAAGATATTCAAAAAGATGATACAAAAAATCCTTTAATTTTATATTTGAACTAGTAATAAAAGAATCAAATATTAAGAAATATTTATTATAGTATTAACTAAAAGCTCTAGTTATCCCACAAAAAATTTTCCACCCCTGTAATATTGGCCAATTGAATTTCAGGATCAGGTGTAATATAAAAATCAAAGCGAACCCACTTTTTTACAAAAAAACAAAAATAGCTTTAAATTTTAATTATAAAACAACCTTCTATGGTCTAATTAAAAATGTTTCTTGTGAAATTTTACTAATAAAACAACCCAAACCCATATTTTATACTGTTCTTACTCTAACCTTAACTATAATGTGGCTTTAATTTTATATATAACTTTACTTCTATATTTAGAAAACAAATCGTATTTGTTTTGACTATTATGTTATACCTGATACTGAATTTTTATTGGTCAAAATCACAAGAGGTAAAAAATTTTTTATAAAATAGCTATCTATATTGTATTAACTTAAACTAGCACTTACTAATATAAAAAAACAAATATGAAAAAAAGTATTTATTTAATTGGAAAATAGAAACTGTTATTTATTTTTTTTAGAAATGATAACTTTGAACTTCTTTTTCAAGCCAATTTTTTAAACATAAGCTTGCATGTAGTGTTGACAGTAGGGTTCCTCAAAGTCAAATCGAATCGAATATTTATATATTTGAATTTAATTGAATCAAATAAGCTCTTGATTTGAATTTGATTTAATCAAATCAAATTCAAATCAAATCAAATTTATTTGTAATTTTTATTAAGTATTTTCGAATCGAATCGAATATTTTGTCAATTTGAATTTGATTTGATTTGAAATTTCTGTATTTGAATTTGATTTGAGATCAAATATTTGATCAAATCAAATCAAATCAAATTGTAGAACCCTAGTTGACAGTTTCAACCTATTTTTTCTTTTACTAAGAGTGTTGTTATATCAGCAAAATATATAAACAAAAACTTATAAAAGTTATTATGACCTTTAATATTTCGAAATAATTATGATCAACATGATATATTTTAAAATTTTTAATTTCAAAATATTACAAAATTTATTTTAAAATATCTATATATATATATATATTTTGCAGTTGTTCATCACATAGTTATGCTACGACATGCCCCAAGCGCTCATGGGGTATTTTTATATGATTTGTTAGTGATATAATGTGATTGGTTGTTATTTTTAGCTTTTTTATATAGTGGTTTGTGTTACATGATTGTGTAATTTGTGTAATACAAATATGCAAGTTAGTTACACAAGGGCTCATTGTTCGTAAAATCTAAAATTAGATTTTGGTCACACAAAACTAATGCAGTATAATGTTACACAAATTGTGTTTTTAGTGCATTTTAGTTTTTTAGCATGGGTAAGTGTCCGTAGCGCAGAGTTGCATAGGGACCCAAGCAAAGAACAACTAATTGGCTGAAGTGAGTGTTGCGAAGCAACACAGAGCGGAAATCAAATGATTGGCTGAAATTTATTATATAAATTATACTATATTAAATATATAGTGTAGTGTAATATTATACAAATTGTATTTTTATAAAGTTTTAGTTAAGTTTAGCATGGGTGAGTGTCCGTAGTGCAGAGCCACGAAGTGGACCCAAGTGTAGGACAACTGATTGGCTGAAGCGAGTGTCACAAAGTGACATGGAGCGGAAGTCAAATAAATGTTTACAATATAATATAATTATTTTTTTTTTTTTTTTTTAATATTTAGGTGACCACTTAGGCCCCTGGCACTTTATTAGTTCAAACGGGTGGGCTGT